ACATTCCATCACGTTCTTTTTGAAGGTATTGTAAACGTGACCCCCAATTCATGCAACGGTAACATTTAGACCTAATCTAATCTAAAATGTGGTTTCCTCTCTCAAAAATTCATATTTTTGAATTTTACAGAGTTATGTAATCAGAAATAATGAAGTAAATAACAAGAATTTAACACTTTTAGTGATTAAATTCTAGAAAAATGGGTGCTGTCGGATTTCTGACAATGTACTTGAATAAAATAATACCTCGGGAAGTCCAACCATTCTGGATGTCCAAACTCATTTCCAATAAAGTTCAGATAACCTTCTCCAGCCAATCCATGAGTTACCAGACGGATCATCTGTCCAACACAAATAAATTATTTAATAAAGAGAGAAATTATTAAGTTCAATCCAAAATCAAACCAAAAGCATTTTTTTCTTCCGAGTGAAATTATAAACTTAATTACAATTAAGATTGGTTTATCTTGTGAACACTTTTTTCAAATACCTTATGCAGAGCTAATCCTCTCTGTACAACATCGCTTGCTGGTTCATTTAATCCCATACCAGTGTACATATCCTATATTCATAATTTGCTGGTAAAATTTAAATTAGGAGGCAAGAGATAAAGTCATTATCAGTAATTACAAATAAAAATACCATCTTTATTTTAAAATTGGGGTGAAACGATCAAAATATAAATATCGTTTGTATTAATTTTATAGTTAAGTACTGTACCTTATCCATAAGCCAAAAAGCAATGGTTTTGTCACCAACGAGTGCCTGGTCATGTGATTCACAATATCCAATACAGGCCTCCTTCCATCTTCTGTTAATTATATTTTACGATTTAATCCAACTATTTTAAAATAAACATAAAACCTTGATTTTCCAATTTAAGACCACAATTAAATTTTAAAGCTCAAAGATTTTCTTGCAAGCCAAAATACTAAATATTCTTTGTGATGTTCATTAAGAGTCTAGTTTAAATCGCACATTTTTCTTTCTTTTCCGTAGAATGTAGGCATGGAGGCTTACTTGTAAATAAACTATATCACAATAAGTCGCCTTGTGTATAAAGTGTATATTCGTCCGTTAATAAATGGTAACAAAACAATTCTGAAAAAGGAAATTGAGTTTAATTCAATTTATTTATTGCGTTTTATGTGTTTTTTTCTGGGTTAAAACTAAAGCATGCATTAATAAATCGTTTTATTACGCTTTATGACTTGATTTTCATCAGTTTTGACCTTTATGAGCATAAACTCATAATTCTATCATGAAATTAAAAATGTTGATATTGGGAGTACTTTTAAATATGTGAACAATACCCTTTAAGTCAGGTTATATTTTATTAATTTTATTAACACTTGTTCGTGTCCTAAAAATTGATTTTTTAAAGATCGTGCTCAATGTGCGTCCTCATTACCAATCATAATCAGTGATTGCGCATAAGTACCTTCTTTTTTGAACTGGAAAAATTATTTTATTTACTTATTTACTATTGGGGAAATAAAGTCATGTATGAAAGTAATAAATGAAAGTTTGTAAAACAAAAACAATAAGTTACATTTTATCATAAGAATAGCCACCTGTTGGTAAGAGTATGAACAATATAATCCAGATTCCAGTCCTCATCACTCTGCTCCTAAAACACAAAGGTTGAAAAAAGAAAAGTTTAAAGGAAGGATGAGAGAAAGAAAAGGGAACCTGAAATTTTTGAGAACGGAGGAAGAAGGAAAAGAAGTTAAAACAAAGAAACAAGAAAATAGGAGTATAGAAGAACGGAAGCGCAATAAAGAAGGATGAAAATGGAGAATGAAGATGACTGAGATGAGATTTTAAGGAACACCAAAAAGTGAAAAAAAATCACCTTTAAAATCTTGATCCACATATCCGGTACTGCCATTGCTAGCCTGTAATCAAACCCAGTTCCCCCTTCAGTTACTGGTCTACAGAGTGCTGGCATACCACTAAATAATTTCATTTCTCTAATGCTTAAAAAGATTTTTAAATATCGAAAATTTAAACACCTAGAAGTGTTAAAAAACGTTTAACACAGCACATATCTTAATACGAACATTTGTCAAAAAATTTTTGACACTTTTAGTGTAAATTTTGTTTAAGAAGTTGTTTTATCATAGGTTTTAATGAAAAAAAGATAAAAAAAATTTAAATTAGATATTCTTGACTTTTGCAAAACATTTTGTCAAGCTATATTTATGTAAAATTCAAGCCGTACAAAATATTGAATTAGTAACCTGACATCCTCTGCAATAGTAATCCCATCCTCAAGACACTTGTGTACTGTGATAAATTAACAATATGTATTATGCACTATCAAAGCTATTGGATTTAAAAAAAGAAAATTTGAAAGAAATTTGAAAAAAAGAAGATAAGAGAAAAACGTTTAAATTGTAATTAAGGAGTCTATATAAATCTTCTATCCTTAGTGGTTTAAAACAAAATATGAAACTAAAAACTCAGTCGCAGCCAATGATTGTAGAACCAAAAACGGGCTTGAGGGTTTGTTTACATTTTACTGTGCGGTATTGGAAGAGCTTATCAACTAGAAACAACAGCAAGAATAGCAGAGGCATATGGTGTAACGGAGCAGTAAGCAGGGCAATGTTCCTAATGTTGATTGTTTAGGTCACATTAAATTGATAACAAACCCAATCCATCTCTCCTTAGTTCCAGTATACCTTGATCACAGAAAGGTATTCTCAAGTTTTCACCCCCCCCCCCCCCCCCCCCCGTTTCTCTCAGGTTCTCATACCACCTCAGCACAAAAGAACCAAAATATGTTTTTCTGTATTAGCGTATAAAAATCTTGATATATAAAATATATATTAAATGCCTAGATGGTTTGCTAGCATGAGGTAGACGAGAGCCTCTGTATCTGTATTTAATCCAAAGTATTCATTATAATCTCCTGAAAACCCTTGTCCTAAACCTCGGTTATGATAAAGCATACTCGTCACACCGTCAAACCTAAACATTTTAAAGTAAAAGATTTCAAAATTAAAAGTAATATTTAAAATAAAATTCTAATCAAATCTTAAAGTGAGTGTTCGCGAAAAATTAAAGGGGGTATAGGCTTAATGCGATAAAAAGCGTTTTGATCGCTACTAATCTTACTTCTATCTGTTGCGTCTATAAGGAGAAAATTGTTAAAGACGTCTCATACCGAAGAACGTAGCGCCCATACAAATTGAGAAAATTGCAACATACGACTTAGACCGTAAAAAAATCAATTTAATTTCAAATAAATCATTCCCTTTAAAAAACAGTTTAAAAATTTCACCTGAATCCATCAAACCCGTATTCTTCAATCCATAATCTCAGATTAGAGAGCAGAAACCTGCAGAACAGTCCAGATGTATGAGAAGAAAAAAGTAGAAAATATTCTGGAATTTGACGAATTTTAGCTATTAATCTCGTTTTTCTCTCAATAATCTAGCTTGGAAGTCTGATAATCTTTCATTTTCTTACAAAGGTTTTCTAATATTTCGTCTTTTCATTTTAGTATAGCTATATTTCATCATTTCAAAGGTCAACCCGTTAATCTTCCGTCTGTGCATTGAAGAATTTTTGTTACAATTTTCGTAAAAGTCTAGTCCTTTCTCTTCATCCTAGTACGAAATATCAGACAATTGGGAAACATAATTTAGACAAATTCAAACAAAGATATTTTTCTATCAATAATCATCAGCTGTTCTTATCACCGGATTGATGTTAGAAAAACAATGAAAATTGAGGCAACTCCAGAGTTATTTTACCTTAGTGTTTCCCAGTTAGTGTAGTTGAATAGCCTGGAGTCCCAAAGCTCGTGATTACCCCTGAAATATTTAATGAAATATCATTTCGACTTCGCATGCTTTGCAGTGTTACCAGTTATTGCCTTTACAGTTCAAATTTACTCATTCAGGTTGTCTTTATTTAACTTTCCGTAGATAAAACAGTTTCCTCAAAAACCAAAGTATTTTAAGCCGCACTGTAGGAGAAAATATATCGTTTTATACTCTAGTACCAAGTTCCACTATGGATACATTACTCTAGTACCTGGTTCCATTATGGATATATTACTCTAGTACCTGGTTCCACTATGGATTTATTACTCTATTATATGGTTCCACTATGGATATTTTACTCTATTACATGGTTCCACTATAGATATATTACTCTAGTACCTGGTTACACTATGGATTAGCCTAGTACCTGTCTGGTTCCACTATGGATATATTACTCTAGTACCTGGTTCCACTATGGATATATTACTCTAGTACCTGGTTCCACTATGGATATATTACTCTAGTACCTGGTTCCACTATGGATATATTACTCTAGTACCTGGTTCCACTATGAATGTAATACCCTAGTACCTGGTTCCAATATGGATTTATTACTCTATTACATGGTTCCACTATGGATATATTACTCTAGTACCTGGTTCCACTATGGATATATTACTTTAGTACCTGGTTCCATTTTAAATATATTACTCTAGTACCTGGTTCAACTATGGATATATTACTTTAGTACCTGGTTCCACTTTAGATATATTACTCTAGTACCTGGTTCCACTTTAGATATATTACTCTAGTACCTTGTTCCACTTTAGATATATTACTCTAGTACCTGGTTCCACTATGGATATACTACTCTTGTTTCTGGTTCCACTTTAGATATATTACTCTAGTACCTGGTTCCACTTTAGATATATTACTCTAGTACCTGGTTCCACTAATGATATATTACTCTAGTGCCTGGTTCCACTTTAGATATATTATTCTAGTACCTGGTTCCACTTTAGATATATTACTGTAGTACCTGGTTCCACTTTAGATATATTACTCTAGTACCTGGTTCCACTTTAGATATATTACTCTAGTACCTGGTTCCACTATGGATATATTACTCTAGTACCTGGTTCCACTATGGATATACTACTCTAGTACCTGGTTCCACTATAGATATATTACTCTAGTGCCTGGTTCCACTATGGATATATTACTCTAGTACCTGGTTCCACTATGGATATACTACTCTAGTACCTGGTTCCACTTTAGATATATTACTCTAGTACCTGGTTCCACTATGAAAATATCCTGCATCACTTCCATCCCACATATTCAACCCATCACTAAGTGCAGAAACAATAACTTAGAGAAGATTGAAGTTAAATATTCACAAAGGGTAAATTAGTTAAAATTGTGGTCAGTGGCTCATTAACGACCTCTTCCTAGGTGCAACTTGGTATTTTGTGGGAAGGGGGGCAGAAAAAATAGAATGGTGTAAAATTCGCGATTTTCTTTCGAGACTTTCAATCTTACGTGGTTTCACGATTTGTAATGCATTTGCTTTGTATATTTTCCTTTTTCAAATTTTTTAGAGGATAGGGGGGCTGTCTCACTAACCTAATTGCATCCCTCGACGTTTTAGACTTATTCTTTTGTCTAAAAAAAATTAATGCAAGTATTTGTAGAATTTAGATGAAGACTATTAAATGTCGTCTTAAGTGTTTCAGTATTCTTTATTTAAAAATGTTAATGTTTCGCTGCCTAACATTTTTACTGGCATGACTATGGACGACGTCAAGAAGAACAGTGAGGCCTAGGCGATGTGCTTCATCAACAAGAGCTTTCAGTTCGTCAGGCGTCCCGTACCGGGAGGAGGGGGCAAAAAAACTGGTCACCTACATTAACAAATTTGTTTTCACCCAGTTTACACAGGTTCTAAGGATAACTTTTTTATTGCATAAAAAATATTTGTTTCATTAATAATATTCTGTATTTTGTAGAGAATATATATATATATTCTCTACAAAAAAAATGGAAACCCTAGTTCTGCCCCGTCTCCTTATACAAATACTCGTATAATAATTCCTGTTTCTTTGCCTTTGATTATAAAAACACTATTTAAAGGTCTAAACTGAAGAAATAAAACTTAGGGTCGGATTCTGAAGTAAATCTGGTCTGTTTTGCACTCTTGCAGCATTGTTTAGCTTGTATATTTCACTCAATAATTGGCAAAACGTACTAGAAAAAGCATGATCTTAAAAAAGATTTCATCGTTTTATGCTCAAGATAATATTTTCAATGCTTATTTTTTGTGATATTCTACCATTTTTGGAGCTTTGAAAAAAATCACTTCATGTCTGCCAATGACATGTAGAATCCGACCTTATAGTTTTATTTGTTCAGTTTAGACCTCTATATGGTGTTTTTAAGAGAAATTGTTAGGCAAATGGGAATACGGAATTATTAGATGAGAATTTACATATCAAAACAGGGGCAAATCTCGGATACTCAATTATCTTTTTATGATGTACACAAAATATTTCGTTCTTTTCGTAATTATTTTGCCTAAGGTACCTGGGAGAACCCTCAAAGGTTAAATTTTTTTGTACAATTTAATTTATCTTAAAACCCTACATTTGACTAGTGTGATGTTAAACCTCATATTTGGATTTCTGAATGTACATAGATTGGTTTATATTTCCAGTTCCTACCTGATATCCAAAACTACCATAGTACGCATGCTCCATAATAGCCATAAGTTGTATCGTATTGTACCCTAGCTTAGCTATCCGTGGCAGTACATTCTAAAACCAGAGTTTCATCTAGTGTTAGAACAAGAATGTTGTTTTCATAAAACACAGGATTTTTCAATTACAATCTAATTTAATTTTCATTAGAAACACTGTAGATCATTTTTGAAGATATTTTATTTTAGTATTTCTCAATTGTACAAATGTACCGTTTTTGACTCAGTGTTAAAGAAAAATTAATGTATTTAAAGAAGAAGTACTTAATGAAGGAGTACTTATTGAAGAAGTACTTAACAAGTGAGTACTTAACGAAGAAGTATAAGAAGTATTTCAATAAGTATGTTAAGCAGTATTTTAATAAGTATGTAAAGAAGTATGTATAGAAGTGTATAAAGAAGTATGTAAAGAAGTATGTAAAGAAGTATGTAAAGAAGTATATAAAGAAGTATGTAAAGAAGTATGTAAAAAAGTATGTAAACAAGTATGTAAAGAAGTATGAAAAGAAGTAAAGTATGTAAAGAAGTATTTTTAGAAGTTTGTAAAGAAGTATGTAAAGAAGTATGTAAAGAAGTATGTAAAGAAGTTTGTAAAGAAGTTTGTAAAGAAGTATGCAAATAAGTACTTCTAGTATTCTTGAAGTTTTTAAAGAGTATTTAATGAAGGAGTATATTTTGTAAGAACACTAGAATAAAATTTCCCTGCGTAAAATCAGTATAAGTGTTCACTTTTCCCTCACATGAGGAAATTCCAACATGGCTCTCGTAAACTCTGCAAAAAATAACATTTTATCAAATAATCAAGACAATGATAAAGCCCTTTAGTTACCTGATACTCTTGTGTTTGTGAGGTCTAGGATGTTTGAACTTGTAACTGGTTTCAGGATTCCAGAAATGTTGAACATATGATACACCTATAAATACACAATAAAGGTTGGGAAAGAATACACGATTGATAACATTTTATCAACGATATATTCTTTTTTTTAATAAAAGGGAAACAATCGTTTCGAATGTTCATAACGACTTACAACAAATTTAACCTTTCAACGTTTTTGCTGAAAACTCATATAACAAGGAACCAAATGATTTAATCAAAACTTTACCTTCAAAATCTTGTTTTTCTCTTGGAGGTTGAAGAACATAGTTTGCCCAAGGAGAGATTCTGTCTTCATTATTCACGAGTATCTTTACTTTCTATAAAAATATTGAAAAATACTGTGTGAATAGAAAAATGACAGAATTAACTAAGTTATTAGTTGTGTATGGAAATAATAAAATCTGCAGACTGCAAAGGCATGATTTCAAAAATTACCAAAGACTAGATTCCCACTTCCTTGAAATAATATTTACTTGGCGGCCCCTGGATAAATAATATTTACTTGGCGGCCCCTGGATAAATAATGTTTATTGAATTGTCTGTTGGTAGCAGTTCATTCAAGCAATTGAAAGATTCTCATAAAACTAGCAAAATCAATCTTTTATTACAATTTGACACAAACAAAAATCATTACCGATTTGACATTTTCACTTTTGGCAGTGTCTTAGAAAGACCAATATACATTGTAGTCGAGCGCTTTAATTGCAGCAAATACATTGAATTCTCCTTTTTAATATTCAATATTATACGGTTTACCTGTAAATGTTTAATAGCCGGGGATCCATCACTGTCTGGTTTCAATACAAGCTGCCATCTACCAGATAAAATATATATCGATTAGAGATGCCATATTAGGTTTTAGATAATAGAAATCGCTCTTCGCTAAACGTGTATGGGATGCTGCTGTGTTCTTTCGAGAGTAATTTCGAGAGCAACTGTTCAATTTAAAATTAACTGACTCCATTGAATAAACTGAGAACAGAAAAATCATGCGATTTAGTTTACATTTTTTAACTATGCGATTTAGTTCATATGTATTTCTCCCTTTTTAAGATAATGTTTTTAAAGGTCGTCATTCTTAATGTGGTTTTAACTTGCTACATTTGATCAAACGTTTTTCAGCTAAAACTAATGTACCCAATTTTTAGCGTCTCAAAATGAACAATATTTTTTAATAGATTTCAACAATTTTACTTTCCTAAACTAGCTGATGTACAAACGCTGCGTACATGTATTTAGACAAGGTCATTGTAACCATTATACGGGAATTAAAGTAGTTGGAATAACACAAAACATGCAAAAAATTGGCAATTGGTATTCTTTGCACAGTCTAGTGTACACTTTAAAAGCTGTATTTGCACTACTGCCAACTGCGAATATTCAGTACCTGCCGAAATCTAGTTTCTGAAAAGGATGTGAGGTTCTATTCCACTCGTTGAACTCTCCATAAAGATTAAGGGAGTGTGCTGCAGGAGCCCACTCTAACCAGGTTATACAACCAACAGAGGGAATATTTATCTACACAAAAACATTCAACATTTATTTATAGATGAAACAGTAGATAAATAAAAAGTTAAAAGACGACTTATCAAGAATGAATGAGTTAACCATGTTTTTTTTTTATTGCGAGTTTTCTTAAAAAGAGACTTTTTGATTTATTCTATATACCTGAAATAATGGAGTAAATTGTTAGAAATAAACACTTTTTTTATAATAATAATATTGTTAGCACGGGATCGTCGCGTTGTGAATAAGTTAAAAGATAAATTTTAAGCTTGACCGAGATTAAGAATTAAAAAAAAGGGATTAAAACATAAATTAAGTTTATGAACAAGCTTAAAATTGATAAATCGAGTTATTAAGAAATGGGAATTAATTCATGAATATTGCTTAAATATAATGTTGAACGTTGTTGATCAAACTTAAGAGTAGATGTTGATGAAAATTTGGTTCATGCATATTGAGATAAAAGTTGAGATATTTTGAATTATATCAGAAAAGTACCTGTGGCCCGAACTGTTTATATCCTGAGGAAAAATTATCCAGTCCTCCTTCCACTTTTTCTATCTGAGTTAGAAAATCTTCGAAATTTCCATACCTAGAAAATGTGTAAGGTGAGTGATTAATTTGAAATATGTATTTATCATTCAAATAGTAAGCCAAGACGTAAAATGACCATTTCTTTTCTATATTTAGAAGTTTAAAAAGTTTAAAATCTGACAAAATAGATTGCCCTAAGATTGACACTTTTTTCTGAGTAGTTTAAAAATATTATGAGAAACCGTGATATAGAAAACAGAAAAATATCTTGAAAACTATACTCCATCCCGTTAACCTCTTTAACAATATTGGCTAGCTGGAAAACTTTCTTGTAATCGGTTTAGCATTACTGGCCTAGTTTATCGCTAATTTAATCATCTGTATTACCATTATAATAGCGTTAATGGCTGGCCCATTTGGGAGAAATTAATATTTTAAAATTTTACGTGCTTTTAACATCTGACTGAATTAAACAATGTCTTGCAAGTTGTAGTTGGGGCTTTATAAGAAAAATTTCCACCTTCGCCTGATCTCACGTTCATGATCCCTAAGGTATCCGTCTCTCTCCAGGAGTAGTTCTAGATCAGGAACCTGGACCTGACTAGCTCCTCCCTTCTTCTCCTGCAGGGGATCATACCAATCCATTTTTTCTAAAAATTACGAAGAAATATAATTTGAAATGCAGTTAGATCAGATGACGTATATATAAGAAGCTATCCCGATTTTTACAAGAGGATTAAGTACCATAAGAGACGAAAATGCAAAAGGGGGCGCCAAATCTTTTCCCCTCGCCCCTCCATTTTGTCTATACAGGCATAATTTGCTTCCTCTAAATTACTATTATTTGATAAAAATGAGTTTGAACAGAAATTTTTGGAAGACGACTTTCAAAGAAATCGACTAATTGTATCCCATAGTTGTACACTATGTAGTTGTGTATGGACATGATGCAGTCTATTGAGTCTATTTCATTTAATTAATTGATAAGATTTGTATTTTATCTATTTCAGAGGACCAACACATTCACATGGATTTGCTTTAATCTTGAATGAAAATATTGGTAACACTTTTTGTCGGCATATTACAAATATATAATTGCACTTTGCCATGCATGATCCGTAATTACGTATGCATGCTAAACATAATATATATATAACAGTATACCAGTCTCACAATGATCATCATCGACTCTACAATCTTTGCGGTGATCACTGATCAGCGATGAGAAAGTATCCTTTGATCTTGAAATAAACTTGAACTTCAGAACACAAATATCTACCGTTTACTAGAGAATATCACGTTTTCTTGAACATCATACAAATCTCAAAATGAAGTCGACCGCCTAGCAACACAATCTAGATCCTTATTCTTGTCAAATATCATTTGATCCTGGAACACATTTACACCGACTGTACACTAAGCAGGTTAAAAACTGTGAAAGATTTTCCCCTGTTTCTAGATCTTGATTCTGCGCTGTTGCTCAGCAAACCTCGAACTTAGAGTATTGAATTTGAGCTAATAGAGATACAGGGACCTTAATGTACTAGTTCATTACCTGTTGTAATTCAATCACATTTTAAAATTATATATATAACGTAAGTTAATGGGTATTTCTATGTATGTAATTCTCTAGAAATACTGAGGTTGCCAAGAGCTAAAGAATGTTTCTATAAACTCCAAGTACTATATATATGTCCGGTTAAACTCGTTTTACAAACGCAGTTCACATAACAGGGACTTAAAAAATAGGGGGTTGATACGCAGGGGTGCAGTTGAGAAAACCTATGAAATTTTTAGAAACATAACAAATCTTATCCTTCCCACATCAATCCTGAAGGGGGAAAATCGTGGGGCACTGGGACGTTTTGCCGTAGAAAAAGTATGAATAAAAATTGACAAGTTGTGTTGCATTGGAATACGATATTAACACATTGGACAGTGTCACAGTAAGTTATTTTTTGCCATTTGACTTCTTGTGATGGGTTACGGGTTATAAAAGAATGTTTTTTTGGATAAGGATTAGCAGGGGCGTATACAGGACTTAAGTGAGGGGGAGGCTAGATTTATTTCGGAACAAAAAAAATCCAGATTTAGGAACAAAAAGGCGAAAAACAATTTTAAGATTTTTTCCTGTTTTGCACTAGGTTTTCTTCCCCCCCCCCCCCTCCCTGAATCCGGTAGGGGGGTTCGAAGGTCCTGCCACCCCCACCCTGTATCCGTCCCCTGATGATTAGGAGTTAACTATTGGATAGATCAATGAATGAAAAGGTATTGACTTTTGAGATATGAATATTAAAAAAGATTTACAGGGTAACCAAAAATACCGGGAATAGGGTTTGTCAGGCCATTTAATGGTTTAATCTTTAACAAGGCTTGAAAATGTGCCTGGAATACAGTTTTTAAGTTTAGAGGGGGTGTAAGAAATTCAATGCTGAGGGTTTGCGTCGTAAAGCTAAAATGGATGAGAGGATGAGAGGATATGGATGAGAGGATGAGGATGAGATTGATGATGAGAGGGTGAGAGGATGAGGATGAGAGGATGAGGATGAGAGGATGAGGATGAGAGGATGAGGATGAGAGGATGAGGATGAGAGGATGAGGATGAGAGGATAAGGATGAGAAAGGGTGAAGGGGTAAGTACGGTGAAGTTTGGAGAGTTTAAAGAGGTTGATGGGTGGTCCTTATGGAAAGTTTGTGTGTGCTTAAATCACGGGGGGGACACACACAAGGACATCATTGAACATACAATATAATCTGCATAATTAGAGGTTAGGAGAAAGATAAGTAGAGAGATACAGAGTTATCCACAAAGGAGGAACCTGTAATGACGACAAAAAACTTATTGAACTTATATCAATTTTAGAGTTTTTTGGACGTCTTTCTGAATTAATGTCTTTGATGTGACTATTTAATGATTATTAAAACGAAAAAAAAGACATGTACAGCTGCTGGAAACTGATAAAATACCCTACAGTCGTCTTTGAAGTCTCATTTTTTGTGGGGTAACTCTTATTTCTTTTCAATTGCCGCATTTCATAAATTCTTCTTCTGAAGTTTTTTTTTTACTTATTATCAGTTTACATGTTACATTCGACTATTCAATTTACGTAAGAATTATGAACAAATAGATATATCACAGTTCAGACTTATTTAAATCAAAAATAGGGTTCATTATTTCTTTTCTGTTTAGTTTACTGCTCTAAGTCTAATCTTTCCAAGCTGTTAGAAATTATGTCATTTTTATCAAAAAAACATTTTTCATCGGGTACATATTCTAACTTCTTGTATTTACTTACATCCTTGATTGTTTTAATTTATCTATTATTCTATCTTTTAACCAATTGTTTTGATATAAGCGTCGCATGAGTTTAAATGCCCTTTTAAACCGTGTAAAAAATAGACTAATCAGAACTCCATTGTTAAACTTTCCTTTATAAGTCTTGTCATGGTTGGTATGTATGGTTACTAGTAAAGGTTTGATTGCTCATTATATTTATGAATGCTCTGTATTAATTTTCCATAGTTCATATACCAGGTCACCTTTTGCTAAATAATCCTTCACAACCAAACAGTCAGTTCTTCGTGGGGTCAGATGGTCCCTGCAAATCATGATTACTTTTTAAAAATATTTTAATCTTAACCCCCATTTGATCTCCTTCTCGATCCAACCTTACCCCATCATTCCTCTGGGAAAATTATAGCCTTGTCCTACCGAACCTAAAGTTCGCATAATGTTAAGGAACGTCCTGTAAAATCTGAAATAATGATATTAAAAGGTAGCAAACTTATTCATTTCATCTCATGTAAATTTGCTTATAAGTCAGATAGGTGTGAAATTGGAAGTATATTTGGACTGTATAGAGAGTATATTGAGTAGGCTGTTACATGACTTTCAAACTTCCAGTGATAATCTGGACTTAAGTAGTTCATTCAATGACAGACTCTTTCTCTTCATCAAATTGATTTCTGACGTATTTCTACACTTTAGAATACCAAATGAACAATTTTAAAGAAAACCACAAGTGTGTGGGTGGTGGACCTGCATACTGTCATGTTTCGTGGGACACCCTGTATTTAAGTTACATCTTTATAAAAAAAAACTTGTTGCGTCTGAGGCTATGATGACGACCTAAAACTCTTCCAATATATATGACAATCTAAAGATTGAATTTGATATTCTACCAAAAAAAAGTCTGCAAATAGATAAGTGAATAGGTGCAAAGAACCATGAATGTAAGAAAAAACTGAATAAATTCCTAAAGTTTACAGTGTCCATTTTATGATGCCATCCATACGAATATGACCGTTAAGATAAGTTCTGAATTATTTAGTAATCAATCTTGTGCGTTGATCGAACTATATCCGGTTGTTCCCTATACCTTATGCAAATTAGTGGCTGGTATAATGTATATAGAGCGTATGATATGATGACTATATACACAAATTCCTGATTCTCTATGTTAACAACATATATGGAGTCCCATATTTAAACTATTATAATACGCGCAGTAAGCGTATTTATCTATTCAGGATCAAGGCTATACACTGCACTTATGCACAGAGAATTATTGGCATAAGGTGTGTGTGTGGGGGGGGGGGGGATATTTATAAATTATAATGCACAATTTCACGGAGATGTATATTTATAAGAAGTATGGAGTAAAGATGAAATATTATAAAAGAGAATATTTTTGTATAAATATTGTCTACGCAGCACAATAATATTTTTTAGGGCGTATAGGTTATAGAGTATTTGTGCAGGGAGTAAATGTTCTATAGTGGACGGAGAAGTATTTGTGTAGGGAGTAGTGACTATACAGTGGAAGGAGTATATAGTATTTGTGCAGGGAGTAAATGTTATATAGTGGAAGGAGTAGTATTTGAGTAGGGAGTTATTGTTAAATAGTGGAAGGAGTAGTATTTGTGTAGGGAGTAGAGGTTATATAGTTGAAGGAGTAGTATTTGTGTAGGGAGTAAAGGTTATATAGTGGAAGGGGTAGTATTTGTGTAGGGAGTAAAGGTTATATAGTTGAAGGAGTAGTATTTGTGTAGGAAGTAAAGGCTATATAGTGGAAGGAGTAGTATTTGTGTAGGAAGTAAAGATTATAAAGTGGAAGGAGTAGTATTTTTGTAGGAAGTAAAGATTATATAGTGGAAGGAGTAGTATTTTTGTAAGAAGTAAAGATTATATAGTGGAAGGAGTAGTATTTGTGTAAGAAGTAAAGATTATATAGTGGAAGGAGTAGTATTTTTGTAGGAAGTAAAGATTATATAGTGGAAGGAGCAGTATTTTTGTAGCAAGTAAAGATTATGTACAGTAGAAAAAGTAGTATTTGATTTGAGAGTAAAAGTTAGTGAGAGAGGAGGATAAAATTGTTAAGGCCAGGAGTAAGGGTTAGAAAAATTGATTGGGTAAATGGTATGATTATATTGATATTGATCAGTGTGTAAAGATTAGATAGGGTGGTAGGGAGTATTTAATGTAAAGAACAAATTAATATTAAGGGGGAGTACTTTAATCCCTTTGAACCGATATGTTTGATAACGATGATTTTTGGAAAATTCTACACCAGGCGGGTTTTCATAAATTCTTAAATAATTAAAACTAAGATATCTCCATCACCATTTTTTATAAATATGTTTAGCAACTGATATTCGAAGGGGGTTAGGCAAGCCA